ACTTAAAAAAGAAAATACTTTTTTAAACCTAAAAACTACAAGCTCTGCTAACCAGTTAAATTGAAACGATGTCTTTAGGACATAACAGACGTAAAAGAAAGAAAAGTAAAAAATACATTTGAAAACTGAAATGTGTTGCAAACTTTGTCTCTTGCAGTAGATGTTTAATTGGGAAAAATTTAACTTGATCTGTTTTAATTTCTAGTATTTTTATGTAGTTGAAGTTGAGAAGGTAACTTGTGTTTATGACTAAGGTTAGGAGATCAAATCTGGATATAAGTGTTTGCACAAATGATTCATACTGTAAACTGACATTTTGATTCATTTTAATGAGGTAAAAAGAGGCAGTAACAAGGCAGTTATGAAATACGGTCTATCATTTTCCTTTTCCCTAAAACAGTGAGGAACCTATTTTCTCAAACTGTTCCTTCACCTGTATCTGACAAGAGAAGGATCACAAAGATGTCAGGGGGGTGTTTCAGCACATTTAATGTGATCAAATGTCATGGCTGAATAATTACTTATTCACTTTTTGTTCAGTTATAGTGGTGGTTATACAGTGACTTAATAAGGGACCTTCAAAAGACCACATACATGTGTCTTTCACAATTAGACATGACTCCATCACACCATAAAGGATGCTTAAGGGAGGAAGTCTTCAAAAAATGTATGATGGGAGTCTGATGGAAAGCTAGTGATGAGCCAGAGCGTTCAGCCCTTCTTTTCCATCAACAAAACTGTTTCTTTGGCTACAGGTAGTCTCCATCAGCTAATGGCTAAATAAAAACCACACAGTATGACACACTCTCTGTCCTAGATTAAGATAGTACAGCTATATGGTCTGTTTACTTCTCGTAATTTAATAGAAATATAGATATATTTGAACAAGAACAATAGGCATTTTTTGTCTTTTATGCAACTTGACCTTTGCTTATTCTTGACAGCAGCAGCATGATAGTTTGGACCTAATTAAACATTTTGTGTATTCCTTTATTCTTTTTTAAATTCAAAATAATGGTTATGGAACTTATGAGCTATCTGTATGGTTTTACATTTGGAGGATTTAAGCAAAACAGCAGAATGTAGATGATGTTATAATGAATCTTTCTTATCCCATTTTTGAAGGCAGCAACACATTTATTAACAATTTAAGAATAAAAAAAAAATGTTTACACTTACATCCCACTTCACAAACCAAAGCTTCCAGGTTTTAGTGGACAAAAGGAAAATTAAATGTTAAAAAAAACAAAACTCAGAAATTTAAGGAGGTAAAGGACAGACACTATTGTGATGTACATCTGGGAGGCTTTTTATCTAAAACATTTCCAAATGTACACATAGCAGCAAATTTGATTAATGTGATTCCATCCATTCCATAATAACCCCCTTAATTGGGACTGTGTTAAAGGGAGAACTGTTTTTTACGACTAAACACAGAACAGGTGTCGAACAGACTGAGCATGCATCAGTCTTATTGTGGTTTAAACATCAGGATTTATGTTGTGATTGTTCATATTTTCATCATCTGTCTTCAAACTGTCATTAAAAAACAAAATTGTCCTGTAAAACTCCCTGAAGCCTATGATTTAGTCTTGTTTTGATCAATTATAACAAAAAACAAACGCTAAAAAATCCCAACTAGTGTGAAAACAAAATTTGGCAACCCTGACTAAAAATAACAAACCTGTCAAATAACTACAACTCAATAATCCGCAGCTCTAATTATGTTTGTAAAATGTTCACACAATTTAATGATTACCTACCTGTAATACACAACATCCTTCAACTTTGTTTAGATATTCTTGTTGTTGTTTTTTTGTTTTCTTGTTGATGCTGTAGATTTGGAGGGCATTCCTACTTTCGGTTATCTAGCTTTATGATGGATAGTTAACACTCATACAGCTAGATAACCAAAGACAGGAACAGGCTCCGCTGTTTATCGGAGCAGCCAGCAGTAAGTCTGGAGGTGTCCTGAGAAGAGAGAAAAATATTAAGTCAGTAATGGGTGTGAAACACTCCAACACACTCAGAAGGCACTTTTTTATATGCATATGTATAAAATAGACATACTAAAAACTTTTAAAGTTTTTTTTTTTTAATCATCAGCTAAATTGATTTTTATAATGTATCTAACTTAGATATGTATCTTTTTGGGGGGTCTGTGCTGCTTCCCAAACCTTTTAAATAACACCTAAAATGATAGCAAACGTATATTCTTTGAATCATTGAATCTGACCATCGTAAAGATCAAGTTTTTGCCTGGGCTAAACAGCAGCAAAGTTTGGTGGACTTTTGTCGTTTTGGTGCTCTGCAACAATTAATTTATCATGAGGCAGCTTCTCTATAGAGCCCGTCATTCTTCGAGAATCCTCTATCAGGGCCCCAGAATCCCATATCACGGTTGCACATGCCAGTGACTGTGTATATGTTTGAAATACCTGTGAACCCACGACAGCATCAGGTTAATAACCCCACGCTTCTCTCTGTGGTCAGTGCGTGTGACGTAAGTTGTTTTAATTGGGGAACAGATGCACCGACAAGGCGTGCGTCATTTTCTTTTGCATAACAAGAACAAAACAATGACAGATATTCTTAATGAACGAACCCCCTCCCTTTAAACCTACAACACGCATTTAGGGTGGCTTTAAAATGAACGGGACTCTGAAATCCTCATCACGCTGCTGGGGTTGAGTTGCCTTTGGATGCGTGTGCGTGGCTCTCCATAATAGAGCATCTGCACAACAAACACTCTGTGGTTGTCTTTGTTACACAGGCTGCATCCTAACACATTTACTTGGTGAGAGACTCTGAGGCCAGAAATGTGACTTTGCCCGCAACATCGCGCATCCATGTTGGCTGTGGAATCTAGGGTGAAAAGCGAAGGCTATTTGTGAAACATCAGACCCGAAATGTTTCTATAAAATGCATGCCAAGTGTAACTCACTAATCTGGAATGTGCCTACTGCTCTGCCAGTGCACCTGCACATTCAGAATAAGACGCAAACACGTCTGCTCGAGGGGTTGATGTGCGGAAACTAATAAAAAGAAAAAGACTTCATCCTAAAGCCTCACTTTCCATCGTGGGGGATGTTCCCTGCGATCCCGGGGATTAAAACATCCACGTGTGGCACGGAGGGCCGGCCGGAGCATCATCTCATCGTTCAGGTTCCAGACGCGCACGAGTTACTGAGCAGCCTTTTTTCTTTTTTTTTTTGCAAACAGGTGAGCAAGTGCGTGGATCGGATCGATAAATCCCACACAGTCCGTGTCCGTGTGGATGAGAGGTCCTCGGCGAACGGGTGCGCGTTTGTATCCGTGATCAGGAGACTCCCGGATCCACCGTCGGCCGGACGGTGAGGTGGGATGCTCCGCTGGTCAGCCCTGTCCGCTGACCGGCCCCAGGCTCCGGTCCTGAGGCTGCGGTGCGCTCCCAGAAAGACGCTCCAGTGGTCCCCCGCTCACCTCCTCACTGCCTTTTCCCCCTCCTCCCCCCAACGCTTCCTCCTCCCTGTGCTGATGTCATAAACGGTAAAAGGCTGGTGACCAATGGTAAACAATCTCCTCCAACTGTGTGCGCGTGTTTTTTTTGTCTCTTTTTAGATTTTTTTTAAAGGCGAGAACACTCGGGATGGCTGTGGATATTGTTGGACTACAGACGCACTTGAGAAATTACATAATTGTAAAAATAAATTAAGCAATGCATTGATTGAAGATAAGAATAAAACATTATTTTGGTTAAAATATTATGATGAGTTATCACATGCAGCTCACGTTAAATGTACTGTAGTGGAAAAGGTCTCTCTGTAGCGCCACACAGCGGTAGTACAGGCAGGGAAACCTCCCACTTCTCAACTGAGTCGGGTGCATTTAAAAGAGGCCTAATACCTGTTCCATATATTTAAAATGTCAAATTAAAGGAGGCTATGCCTCAAACAACAGTTTATTTGAACACTCCAGCTTTTCCTGGAAACACTGTAAAGGACCAAAGAAAGTGTTCTTCCAATTATGGTAAAAAAAAAGAAGAAGAAAAGAATAAGTAAAGTTATTATGTTGCTCTCTTTGTTGATAGCGATGTAAACTCTTTCTGAATAGCAAGGCCTCAAGATCTGAGCATCACCAGGAAATTTTAAAGGGAGGCAGTCCTGTTGATACTAATGGTACTTCAGTGCATACAGTTGTGAATGAATGGAAGTTAATTACAAAAGTGCCATTTAAAAAAAAGGTTGATTGCAATATAGTGCACACACATCGACTATCCATAGAGACTTTTGTATAGAAACATCATTAAAATGGGCAATGAGAGAAAGGCCAGCCAGCCATAAATGCTCTCTAAAATTAAATCTAATGATATTGACTTAATGTTTAATGGTAATAGGCTGTGAAGTCCCTTTCATCTTTTTGTTTGCGCTATCAGCATGATGATGCTTTACCAGGTTGAACTGACAGGGAAATAGTATGTACGAGGAAAGATATGTGCTAGATCATTTATTAGCATCGCTCTGGACCAAAAGTGGAAAAGCTTAATTTAGTCCCGAAAGCCTGACAGGTTTCACACTCTGTGTTGTTTCATTTTGATCACTGTCGACACATCCGCATTCAAGCTTTAAATGAGCCAGGTTTAACATTCGACTGTATAGCAAATTGAATCTGAACCCATCAAATATCTTTAAGGTATTTTTGTCTTTTCATGCTGCTGATATTATGAATATGGTTCTAAGTTTGTGTCCAAAAAAACACAAACCCTGAGATCAGTTCAGAGGTTAAGGCGGTCATTATAGTCGCTCTGCTGCCCTCTGCTGGTCAGTCCGAGCATTTTCCACATTTCTTGCAGGTTTGAGTCAACATAAAAGTGTTGGAAAAAGAGCAATACATTTACTGTAGAGAGCACCAAAAAGAAAATATGCAGCCCACCATTGTTTCTTCTTTTTGAGGTGAAAGTTGCTGACAAAAAAAATCTGAAAATTAAATAAAAGGAACAAAGACAAACCCATGACTCTAGTGAGCGAAGACAAACATACAATTTATTACAAAATACTGTGGATGGACAAAAGTTCGTGATTTCAGAGACAGAACCTTATTCTGTGACGAGTGATTCCTGGGTAAGGCCACATGTAATACTTACCATCTGCATGACATCACAAACTTTACTTTAGTCAAAAGTGCTTTGTAGAAAAATCAGTGGGCTTTCATTTAAAAAAGTACAAAAAAGAAAATCAAAGAACAGAAGACAAAAGTCCTTAAAAAGTGAATGTACACATGAATAGGTTTCTATTTAGACAGGGTTCTTCCGTACGTCGATTAACACATTATTTGATGCCAGAGGCCCGATGTTCAGGCTGGAGCGACGAGAGTCTCTGCGGGATTTGACCACGGGCAGGGATGTTGACCCACTGCTGGCCACCAGACCGGTCTGGACCACGCGGTTAGCAGGAACGTCCCCGCACACCTGGAGCAACAGTTCCTCCATGACAGCGGGCTCCTCTGTGGGGAGAGACGAGCGCCTCCAGGTGGAGGGGAGGGGGGTGTTGACCAGCTCCCGCATTTCTTCCCTGGACCGGGTGAGTTTGTCCGCCTGCCTGGTCCCTTTGCTTCCCGGGTTCTCCTCGTGGCAGTGGCTCAGCTTTTCCACACTCCCAGCACCTGCAGGTTTCACATCAGATGCAAAGAATGGAACACCACAGACAGACCATAACCCAAACCCAATGAGGAATGCCGTGAGGTGCAACATCTCTGAGGGTTTCTGGCAGCTGACGCCTGTTTCGAATGTGTCAACATCTCAGCCTTGACCACAGTTTAGTCTGACACCAACCACTAAGAGCTACTCCGATATGTGCTTCTGCCCTATTAGGATATAGATTTTTAGCCGAAAACAGCTGTTCATCAAGTCATCATATGTCACTCTGTAATGCAGTTCATACCAACAAATGTATCCAAAAACCAATGGGGGATTAACAGTGTCTTTATAGCGCTGACATTGGGAGCTGGGGGATGGGCATGATTAATCGTGTTTACAAATCTTTGACTGGAAAATGCCATTACCTTTAAGATGCTCTTTTGGCTGACCGACTGATCCACAGAGCTCTCGCAGTTTGGTACTTAGCTCCAGATTAGCCGCTTTGTAGTGGTTTAGCTCCTTCCTGAGATTGTAGATCCATCCCTCATACTGCCGCTGCCTTCCTGCCAGGCCTTCGTCCATTTGTTCTTTGATGGGAGGAAACAGGGAGAGGTGAATAAGCTGCCATCCACAATACGGACATGCTACACAGAGTGATGAAACGGGGACACTCGACAGAAACATGTCATTGTCTATTGGCATTACTGGTCCCTTGGGTTAATTTAGATCTATCTATGGCCGGAGAAGGATGTGGATTTATGGCTTGGTCTTAAAGGAAAGACTAAACTGTTCAGGAGAGGGTTATGTTTTCAGCATGGGTTGTCATGGTGATTTGACCCAGAGAGAAGTGAACCAGCTTTGCGATACTGAAAATCCCAGAATGAACCTAAGCTTACTTCACCAATCCACAGAGCAGAACGGGCCCAAGGCGTGATTCTCACCTCGACACTGCTGCAGCAGCAGCTGCACGCTCCTCTCATGCTCCTTCTGCTGTTGTGTGAGCCGGCGGTCCGTGTCCAGCTGTGCACGATCGAGGGCATTCTCTAACCACTGGACCAGCCTCTGCTGCTCATCCAGCTGCATTTCCAGCTCGGTGAGGGCGAGCTGGAGTTTACGCTCTTCCTCACGCAGGGACACCACCTACACATCAGCACAGGCTTTAGGCTCGTTACCAGTGATAACTGACCTTTGTGGGAAAAGCTGGACGCATGTGGCGCCTAAATGGAAGACGACGTTGTTAGAAATGGGAAGCGGCGCACAAACCTTGTCGAAGTACTTGCAGAGCAGAGCTCTGGTCTCGGAGGCAGACAGATAACTCAGCTTGGCCATGAGGTTCATTTCCCACTGGGAAAGCATGCTGGCAGAAGCCCTCAGCTGTCTCTGTCTCTGAGTGATGGCCTCATTCTTGTATTCAATAGCAGCATCCAGGGCCTCGATTGCTTCATCCAGCTGGAAAAGGGTTCGCTCCTCCTTTTACCACAAAGAAGACAGAGCACTTTATTATCTATACCGTTATGGTTCCTGTGCCACCAGTTCTGATCCTTAGAGTGACGATATTAAAGCCTGCAGTAACGGTGTCTGACCTCAGGCGAGAGCAGGTTACCCTGCCGCAGTTTGTCGTCCAGCTCAACTCGCTGCTTGAGCAACGAGTCTTTCTCTTGGCGTAAGTTTGAGATCTCCTGGCGGATCTGCTGGGAGTCCTGGGCGCTGCTGCTGCGGAGGAGACCGTTCCTCTCGCTGAGCTCGTGCTCCAGCGTCTCAATGCGCCCGGTGAGAGTCATCAGATCTTTACTTAAGGCCTGGGTGAGAAATGAACAGCATAGCTCACGCATTCGCCAGTGTCCTTCCGGCACCACCCTGGTGTCACTGGGCCTGTTGGTACCTGACTGGAGCGGAGCCTCTTGGTTTCCAGTCCGCTGCGCTCCTGCAGCAGGGCTTCTTTCTTGGCCAGGATTTGCTCTCGTTTGGTCAGTTCTCCCTCTAGGTCTTCCAGTCCCCTCCTCTGTTCCAGCACACGCTCCATTTCCTCATCCAGCCAGCGCTTCTGTTCCTCAATCTTCTACTCGCACAAAGACACACAAAATGAAGCAATGCGGCAGCCGGTACAAAGAAAGACTGAAACACAGGTCGAGCTTTTTAAAATTCCAGCAACAGAAACTGCACATGGGCACAACGGTCAGAAGTTTATGACACCACCACATGCACCTGTTGCTCTTCCAGTGAGATGACGGAGCCATTGCTGCCACTGCGTCTCTGCCTCTGGAAAGCTGCGATTTCTTCTGTCTTTATCCTCAGGATCTTCTGCTGCTGCTCGTTCTTTATCTCAAGTTCCTGGTAGCGACGAGAGAAGATGGAGATGAATTAAAAAACATGGGTTAAAAACCAAATTTTACCATCGCCCAATAGTCATATCACTTTTTATAGTTCTGACAGTTGAATTCGTGCATGTAAAATATTGTAGTATTAAAAAGTAATAAAACATTTATAAAAAAGCTGTTTACACAGCTGACTTCAGTCCTAAATCAAAATGTGATGCTACCTTGACTCGGTGAGTCCTTCTTTGCATTTCTGTCTCCAGACGTCGTTTCTGCTGGCTCTCCTCGCGCAGCCTCTTTTGCAGCTGCTCCTGCTGCTGTCTCATTGACTGGACACTTCTCTCCAGCTCCGACACGCGGCGTTCGCTCTGTACGGGCAGATTGGCCAGGCGAGCGGTGTCCCTCTGCCGCTGGCTCAGGACCTGGGATTTGAAGCACACGTGCGTCCCCCACTCAGAACTCTACAGACCGGGAAGCTGTGATCTTTTACAATGAACCAATCTTGTTTGATTACTTTTAAAAGGAGAAACATATCTAACACAGCCCCATCAGCGGCCAAAAACGGCGTTTAATGTCCAACCTGAACTTTGCTCTGAGCGGCAGCTATCTTCCTGCGACACTCCTGGGCTCTGGTCTTGTCCGTGGCACTTATTTCTCTCTCTTGGCGCTCCAGATCCTGCAGCTGGCGCTGAGCGTCCTGCAGCTCCTGCCGGGCCTGCACGGCTTCACTCTCCAGGGCAGTGATCTTGTGGCTGTATTGCTTATTCAGGGCCTGCGCGTCCTTACCTACACACGGCATAATTTTAACACACAAACCCAGCAGAGTGCATCCGTTTGTGAAGGATTTCGCGGCAGAAGAAGCAGTGGTGTAGCTTACCCGTTTTGACCAGCTCTTTGATGAGCTCCTCTTTCATGCGGATGGTCACAGAAAGCTCCCTGATTTTCTGCTGGGCCTGAAGAAGCCCCCACTCTGAAACACCTTCGAAACTTCTCAGGCTTTCTCCAGTGCTGGAGTTGGCTACACAGCGATTTGAGAATGGACATGAGAGGTTAAAAGTTGCTCTACGTTGAAGTCCTAGTTTGTGTTTCACCAAAGTCTGTGACTGTTAAACAGCTGTTCAACGTACATGCTTTCCTGGCTAAACACGGGTGCTGCTCTGGCTCAGGGAGCTGAGACGCTGGCCCTCTGCCACCAGCTATAATTCCACCAAGCATCGTGTCCTGCTTGGTCCAGGTCAGGTTCACCTGTCTGAAAGAATACAGGGTAAACATATAAAATAAACATCTGTGCTTTGATACTGAAGCCTTTGATAACTGCAGTGGCAACATTTCTACCAGCAACTCTCAATGTGGCAAATTAAGCACAACGTACTTGCATCGCTCCTGGTTAAGACTGGAAAGATTTTCCTCGTTTTCCCTGTAATAAACCTCTGCTCCTCCTGGGATCTCCTGCTCCTCGTAATATTTCCCTTCGTGATCAGTTGCATGACCAGCATGACCCAGTGGACTGACCTGAAACGGATCACGTTATCTAAACTTGAAAACCACGTCAGTGGCCACCACTCCCAGTGTTCCTTATTCCAGGCTTGGAATAACAACTGAAAGCCCTGTTCTGAATGTTTTCAAGTGTTCCTGGTTGGTGAGAATTGGGAGTTTGTAAATCGGCCAGTGGTCTGAGCCGAATGCGTGGGCAGACTGCACCAGCTGAGGACTTCACGGCCACCTGGGCTGTGTGTGATTACCTGTCTGTGGGAGCCTCCATTCTGACCGTGCTGCAGGGAGCCCATGGGGGCAGTGTGAGGCCGCAGCTTTAAGTTAAGGCTCATCCCCATCGTTCCAGGAGCGGACAGCTGAAACTGCAGCTCTGCTATCAGGTCCTGCTGCTCCTGCAGCTTATCGCTCTGAGACCGAGGCAAACAACATCACGTACGAATCGTTAGAGGAAATAAATAGGTAAAGTCTTTATGAGGTGCTGAAGCTATCATCCACAGCTGACCTGCTGCTTGTATTGCTCCATAGCATCCTCCAGAGCAGCTAAAAAGTCTGTGTTCTCCTTCTCCAGCCGCTGGATCTGAGCCTGAAGATGAGCCACACTATCCTCTTTCTCGTATTCATGACCGTTGCTCCACCGCTCCTCGACTGCTTCCGAGTCCTAGACGACAAGTCAAAATCCTCAGAAAGTTTGACTACAGTGAGACTTTAAACAGTAAAAAAAAAGGACATACCTGATTCCTGATGGAGGGCCTCCCTCTCCTCAAGGCGATGCTGTCCTCTGTGGAGCTGTTCTCAATGCCGCTGTCCGGCCCCGAGGCGGTGGTCAGCCCGCTGCGTTCCTCCTCCACCGAGCACAGCCACTCCTTCACTCTCAGACTCTGCTCCGCAGTCAGAGCCCCTTCACCCTGCAGCTCCCGCAGCAACCTGCCCCACAGCGCCCACATTAGAGCACACCGTCACCTCTTATGACTGAAATCTATTCTTAAGAAACATCCTTTTTACACCCTAAAAAAACAAAAAACAAACACTGCCCAGAGATGTGTTAAAAACATATTTGCTGCTTTTATACGTACATCCCATTCCATTATGTTTTTGTCAGTCCACTATGTCGTAATTATCGGAGTAAACTAAATTCAGAGGGGTTGTATGCTGTGGATGAACAACTGAAGGTAAACTGAGGTGGAGGGTTTTTCTCTAACATCTACTCTGTCATTTGGAATTCAGCTTTAGGGAACAAACTAAGTGTTTTGATTTCAAAGATTCTGCTTCTTTTAGAGTAGTCACTAACATGTGCAACTCCCATGTATGGAAACACCAGCACACGTTATATGAAAATATTCAAAACAAATTAATACGGACACCTAAAAAAAATGTTGTTTAAAATCTAGCTCCTGAGGTGAGCGTGCTTCAACCTGTAAGCGGTGTCTGTGCAGGTCCTGTAGTGAGCGCTCTGGGCCTGCAGCCTGCTGATCTCGCCCTCTCCGAGCCGAGGTCTCCGGTTTGGGTCAGCGCGGGTGATGATGCGGGTCTCCGAACGCTGGCGGTTCTCCAGGGCTCTGCGGAGGGCCTTGATCTGCTGCTCCAGCCCTTCCACGCGATCGGGCTCCCGCTTGCAGTTCACCGTGGCGCGGTTCTGGATGTTTCTAGCTCTCATCGCGTAGTTCAGAGTGTTCAGGCTCTCATCAAAATCTGAGGAGGAGGGGCTGATGCAGGCAATCATCAGGGTCTTTGAGTTTCCTCCCAAAGAGTCTTTTAGGATCCTAGCCAAAACAAGAAACATATTATCCAAATGAGAAATGGGATCTGAAAAAATTGATCCAGATACCTTAAGAAAAATCCTACCTTGTGATTTTAGAATCTCTGTATGGTATATGAGAGCCTTTCCTCTTTGGATCCCCGAGTGCCCCGATAACATTACCCAGAGCCAGGAGACCGCTATTGATCTGGATGCTCTCCTTCAGTCTTTCTCCAGTGTTACCCGTCTTTAGGATTCGCTCCGACCCGGCCAGGTCGACAAAGTGAAACTTGGAGGAGAGCATTTGCGGTCCGGAGCCCGCAGCGGTCCCATAAAGGCGAGAGCTTCCACGCCGTTGATCGATGTACAGGGTAAAAATGGTGTGCGAGCGGCTGGAGTTCGGATTCATCTGTGTGGCACCAGTGTGCCTGGCTGTGTTTCCTGACTCCAGTAGGCTCAAAACCTCATCGAGACCCTCCACCTCGCACTCCTTTACACCACACAGAACTATGGTCACAAATAGAAAATGCAGATTAATACATACAATAAACATTCTACTGTAAGAACAACACTGTCCTGAAATCAACTTAAAAACATGATAGAAACAATATGGCTGCTTATTCGATACCAATGTTGCCTTTATCCTCCCGGATGAGGATGTCCTTGCTGGCAGTCTCCACTTCCAGCAAGTCCTTGAATTCCTCTTTATAGACCTCCAAATAGGAGACGCGAACAGAGAAGTCTGAGAGGTCATTTTCATCCAAGAGCTTGAAGACATCTGCAACTGCTCTGGGGATGATACCCTGCTCCTCATCTCGGAAGGAGCCTACAGATACAGGGAGAAATGACAGCAGGGGACATTTTGGAAGCAGAAAAAATCAAATGATGTGTGCTTTCTTTCTGACACTGTCCAATGCAAAAATGAGTAACTTACTAATATTAGCTTCCCCAATGGTGTAAGTCTTGCCTGAGCCTGTTTGCCCATAGGCAAATACTGTGGCATTGAAGCCTTGGAAGAAAGCATCTATGAGTGGCTGCACAGACACAGAATAAACATCTTCTTGGCAGCACGTCTCCTCAAATAAGAAGTCGCAAAAGAAGCGTCGGTCATGGCCCAAAGTGACCTGCTGCAGTTCAGAGTCCACCGTGATGCAACTCTCGTGGCAGTGGAGCAGCTCTTTGGGCAGCAGGGGACGCACTCGCACCGCTACTTGGACAGCAGAATAGTCCCCTCTGGCTTGGCCAACGGGTAGCTTTGGAGACATCTTTAAGGCACCGCTCTCGCTCCTCTGTGCTCCACCCCTATGTAGTGATCATCTCCGTGTCACTAGAGAGAAAAGATTACATCAGTTAACAAAGATATTTACAACAACTTTGTGTCTCCAGGCTGGTGGACTTTACAATTTTTGAGAAAAAAATCCAACATAAAAAAATCAAAATGCATAGTTAAAAAAAAGAGATAAATGTTCATTCAGTTAATTTGGGGAACTTAAATTAAATATATCCATTTTAAGTAACACCTGCATGGTAAAATGGTAAAAGTCTGAGAAAGTATTCCCCTCCAAAGTGGAGGATGGTTTTAGGAAGTAGCGAACGTTTCTATTTTACGAGGCTCAAATATTTTTAGACAAAAGATGTTTCACAGATAGGTCAGCAGCTGCAAATCATTTTAGCATTTCCTAATAAACTAAATTATGAATAAAATCCAGAGTCCATCTCCAGTGTCCCAATTTTTGACATGTAGTGTCTGGGATAAAAAAAGCACGCTCAATACATGTGAAAAGGTCGTCCTTATTCTGCCAAAACAAACTAAATCCATGAGGAAGATAGCGAGAGCCACAGCAGTGGTGAAATCAACCTTTTTGTCCAGATGAGTCGGCTGACCATCTGGATATAATCGGACGGTCTGGATGTTCATGGAAGACAGTTGTTGCTGAACAGCGGGATGTTTACAAGTTAAAGGAAAACACAACAACCATCTAAATTCAGTGAGCCTCCAGCGGGAAGGTATATCATTATCCTTGCCTACCATAAAAAGGACATATCACTGGAGAAAACAGAAGTTTCACAAACTGTTGACAAAATATAAGACAGAAACACACATATTTTAGAAAATCAGATAATCTCTGGAGTGGGGACAGCTGAAACTGACCTTACCTCGTGTATATGAAAATATAAAGACGGATTTTAGTTGTCCACAAGTACAGTGGGATGGCATACAGGGGTCCAAACAGGGTTACTGGAGTAAACTGTAATCAATCCAGGATTTTATTTAGGCTTTTTTTTTGGCGAAAGAGTGGATCAGTGTGGAAAAGCTGAGCCTGTCAGCTTATCTGACTCCCTTCAAAACTGCATTTAACTTTCAGGGGAAAAACACAAAGGTGGGAGGACTTGTAAACAAACAGTAACTGAATGGCACACCACTAAATCAAATGCGTTTGGGCTGTGTAGGACGGCTCAGACTTCAGACACTTCTGAGCAAAACAGTCATTTTGTCTGCCCTGAAACAGAGAGTTCCCTTCTAAAAACCCTCCCTCCCGTTTATTTGGGATTATGTCATCAAAACTAAACACGTGTGCTTCAACACGCATTTAATGGATCTGTGAAACGTCCATATTTTTTGTAAACAACAACAAATAATTGTGGTATTATGGAAACTGTATAGGCCTAAATATGTTTATGACACTATCTCTTTTTTTTTGTAGGCGTACATTTTTTTACACACTAGATTGTGCATGCAAAAGACCCAAAATATCTGCCTTAGTACGAATCAAATACAGCTCCCGACACGTGAAGTGGCCCCACCATGAACCAAACAGGGGGTCGCGTGTTATCATTTCGTTCACATGGGTTTGGCCGAGTGCCATTTAACGCAGTGGCTGCCAACCCGGCGCCTGTCTTCTTAATTTCCAATGTTGCACGTTTCAAAACATCTCCCATGGGTGCAAACACAAGTTACTCCAGCCATATGAGCAGAGTTTCTGTCTGTCTGGTGGGGTTTTGCTCTCGCCGGACGGACTTACGTCGCTTTAAGCACGTTAGCAAACGAAAGTTAGCTCGCTATTGTTTTAACCCAACAAAGCAGGCAAACAACACGGCACGGCTGAGTGTTAAACCCCCCAAAACTTTGTGCTATGGCTTTTCGTCGTGATATTTCAATGCTTCTCAGCTTCACGAGGTTTCCAAACTTATTAAAGGGCTTGTTTTCCAGGATAATTGCAGCTAAGCTAAAGTTAGCCAGCGGTCCGAAAAACAATCAAAAGCGTGAAGATGAGGCTGAGGAACGCACTAACGGATGCTCCGCTCAGTTGTCACGTGTTAGTGGCCTGGAATAGTTAGCATGACTTACTTTTAGAGTTGCAGAAGTTACAACATGGTTTCAGGTTTACACTGGAGTTTTTTTTTCTCCCCCTTTTTTTTTTTGGGCGATTGGAAGTTGAGGGCCAGTCATGGGAGGAGCCCGAAAGTTTGGATGAGCTGCGAGGCATCCCGCTAAAGCCAGCAGGGAGGAGGGAGCCAAAACATAGAAAAAATACACTTAAAAACGTCTAATGCGTGTACATGTTGTGCCATGCGTGCGTTTTTTCTGTCTTTGTATTCATGCAATCATTTGTATGAGCAGAGACTGTGTGTTATGAAATCTAAAGGTTGATCTTGACTTTGACCTGACCAAGATCGGGCCTGCAGAATCAGTAACATCTTTTAAATCACTTCCTTAAAAAACAATTTTATGGAATTACATTTATGTGATTTTTTTTAAATGTGTCCTGTTTGTCCCTCTGATGTTTTGACGTCTGTCAGAGCACTTTGTAGAAATCAAAGTAATTATTTTAGGCCTTTCATTCTTCTCAACCAGTATTCTTTCATTTTAAGTTGATTTTTAGTTATTTAAATCGTGGTTTTGTGCCTCAGTTTGTCTGCTTCGTGTCTCATGACTTTTGCTCATTTAGGTAATTTAGTTGTTTGTAAAGTAAAAAAAATAAAGATAAAAAACACCCCCAAGATGGTTATTGGTTATTTGGTTGGTCATTTTGATCATTTAGTTGTTTCTCTTTTTTCCAGGTTTCTTTGTGGATATCTTTTCAATTTAGAGAAGAAGCAAATAAAGTTAGTGAAAGTATGCTGGTGAAAACCCGTCTTCCACTGACTGGTGAAGCCAGCATCAACATGATACAGTGCTTCAGAAATCTGAATTTGGCAAAGCAACTTGGATGAGTAAACAAGTCAAAACAAGTACTAAAACTGATTGGACACCGGTGAAAAGTGCATGAAAATTTAAATATCCTTCTGAAAGTGCTGAAAGAAACAAAACTCTTTAGAGATTTGTCACAGTCTCTGGGAAATGGGAGTAAACGTGGTGAAGTTATGAGCTCTCAACTTTGGGTGTGCACGTCCGCAGTCCAACCACCAGGGGGCAGTGTTCAATCAGAATTTTTAGAATCCCCGTGGACAATTTAACCTAAACCCTGAAGAATACTTTTAATTTTGAATTGATTAAAGAAAAAAAAGTTTCTTATATTGCTTGTATGTAGACTGCGATCACCATGGGTGCAAGAAAACATTTTAGGCCAAAGACTTACCGTTATGGTTAAACTTTGTCTCGTCATCAAGCTGTGATAGTTTTACATGAAGTGGTTAAAAATGCATCATATCAACAGTGGAATTGCCAGATATATAGAAAAACAAGTATACTGCCAGTAAAACCTTTACTCAACTACCTTAAGTTAGCAGTGAAGCCTGTATGTTATCTCCTTTAACTCATCATCTGGAGCCTCTGGAGCCTTATCAGACACTGTGATACCCTCTCTTTTGTTCTCTTTAACTCTGGGTAGAGGTATTTGTTGCCAGTAGAAGTAAGTATCACTGATAATCCAAGATGGCTCTAGAGTGCAGACAGTAATATCCAATGACAATACCTCCCACAACCACACAGGAATGGAGGATATTCGTTTCAGTCTCCCTTGTGAGTGCTCACTTGAAGGTTTTTATCACCATGGCATGGCTTGGCTACATTGGAGCGAACTGTAAAGAAATAGTGGAGCAGCTAAAGAGGAGAAAACTGACAGTGTGAAAGAGGAGGTAACAGGATCCCGTTAAGGAGGGGAGGAGGAGGGAGGACAGTGAGGTGAAGAGAAGATAGAACATCGGACATGGAGCCAGGAGCTCTCACAGGTTTGTCCTCAGATAATTATGGCAGAGCCTCATACAGCCAAAGCAGATGTGAACCCCCCTCCCAAAAAAGGCAAGCAGTCGATGAGTGATGGAGGGTTTTGTTGTGGCGTCGGAATGGAAACTGAGCTGTTTGTTTAAACCTTAATGCTGAATCTGGCCCTTTTGTATATAACTGAGGAAGAGTAACAGGGGTAACCTCTCACTGAACAACACATCTGGTTTTAAAGACAGAAATGGTAATAAAGACCTCAGCTTTTAATTCAGCCTGCCCTTCAGTCAATGACAGACTGGTTGGCTGGCAGAAATTGGTCTTAATCAGTCGTCTCTCTATTCATGTGACTGCCTCCTTATCTCCACAGATCTTTCTTCTTCACTCGGCGTTCCATTTTGTTTCAGGGTTCTGTAAAACTCCCAAAATTATAATAGAGTTTCAGCCGCACTATGGCAGCCGCTCTGCAACTGGAAACATCCCTGTGCACTTTCGTGTGGCCTCTCTTTACCCAGGAGTGGATATGTAGCATTCGCTGCACAGAGGGGACTCGATTCGTCACATGGGAAATGATCACAAAATAAACTTCTTAGCTGCTCAGAATGTGTTTTCCATCCATGGGTGCTTGTTTTGGAAATGAGAGGTTAATGCGCAGAAAAGCTATGCATGCACAGTGGGAGCACAGAGGCTCTTTTCAGTGGCGGTTTTTTAGCAGCGTTGCCTAACAGCGTTGCTCTGTGCTTCATGAGGTAAGATGTATAACAGCCGCTGCTCACATTTTGGCTATCGCTGCTCATAGAGTAATCAGGCTCTCTTGTAGGATACTGTGGATTTGAAACGTTTGACCACATGGATGTTTAGCTGTTTATTTCCTTTACAACCAATATTGTATTTATCAAAAAACAAAACCAGAGAAAAAAAGGTCTGTGAATTAGCATTTAGTCAAACTAAGCCACATTTCCTCTTGAAATTGATAGTTATAAGAGCAACCTTGCTACTGAAAGGGATTTTCTTTAAGGATTTGTCTGTGTTTACCACCATCCACCAGTCCCTGAGCTTTTCACTTGATGTTATTGGAAATCTTCACCGCAGCATGATGCTGCTACCACCATGCTTTACTGTTGGAACAGAGTTCTCAGGCTCACACCTGACACATTGTTTTATTTGTCTGCCAAAAATCTCGTCTGTTCAAAGGACTTTCTCCCATACCCGGTGGTCTTCTCTGTTTAGTTTTCCAGCTCCCAAAAGGTTAAACTTGCTTTCTTTGTCACCTCTTGATTAACGCCATCTTCGCCCACGAGTTCTGGTGCGCAGTTTGCTCTGAACAGGTCAACTGTGGGGGCAGATTCTCTCAATTTTTCAATGCTGAATGTTATAGTTTACAATGTTTAATCATGAGCTGAAGGCAACAATACTGAAACAGAAATACAAATAAATGGGACCATAAAGAGGATAAGAAAACCTCAGACATGAAAATTGCATGTCAAAACAAAAATAACTTTATTTCAGAACAGAGTACAGGTTAGTCTGGTCCTGGTTAAGTGCTATTTTATTGTCCAGCTTTCGTAGTCTAAACTCCTCTTCTTTGAAAAATAAATACAGTTTAGAACTCGTACGGGGAAACAAACATGGTGACTTTGGTGATGTACCTCCCCAGCTGGACTCGTCTCTCCAGCTCACTCATCTCCACTTCTGCCTCCAGAGTTGCCGGGCCCTGCACGGGGCTGACCAGCATCAGCTGACCCGTTAGACGGTCAGAACGCTGGACCGTAAAGTGGCGCCGAGCTTGCCTTCCGCCCAGCAGGGAGAAGCGAAGCGTGTCACCTATTGGACGCAGGGCCGAGACTCGGAACATGACCCGCGGAGCTGAAAGATTGGACACAACAGCCAGGTAATGGTAAGAAAAGGAATTCGGGGCCTGGGAACACGCTTTGTTGTCCACAGGGCAGGGGTTCCGTTCACAGCGCCTGGAAGATGACAAAAGAAAACAGAAAAAAAGCTGAAGCTAAGAGGAAATGTGTAAAAAATGGATTTAAAGACTTAACTCCCAAATCTGCTTGGTGCTACGGAATTTCAAGGAGAAAATATCTGTACACCCTTTTTGAGAAAGTGCTCACATGGGTGATGTCTTGACATAAGTAGCATGAGGAATTTTGGGGCAGTCCACACGAACACACTGGAAGCCACCATACGTGTTAATGCACATGTGGTCCTTTGTGCAGTTGTTTTGTCTGGTAGCACACTCATCAATATCTGAGAGAGACAAAACAGAGCCATTTGTGTAAAAACAGGATGTGCTAAAAATAATTTTGAGATTAAAAAGACAAATAAATAATGGGGGATATCCATATTGTTTCCTCTATTCAAAATGATTTGCTGAAAAAAAGAAATGATAGATGATGATGGAACTTAACAAAAAAGCTTGGATCTAATTCACGGGCGGTTCTGTTATTTTATTTTGTAATTGATGTCATTTTGTAATACATTACACCGTACATGTTAATGCACATCTGGTTCTTTGTGCATTGTGCACTGCACATAATATAACTCATGTAGAGCAAATATGTTTGATTTTGAATGTTTTGCATCTGTTTTGAGTTATTTTTGGAATATTTTGTGTCCTTTTCTAACTTTTTTGTCCCAGCAGCTGTTTTTTTTAACTTCTCTTTGCACGCTTTACTAGTAACTCATATTTAATGGACAATACCAGCCCCACTGCGTGAGCCCTTGTGTCTCTGCTTAGTAAACCTACAGAAGAATCTTTGGAATTGGCCTTAAAACAGACTCGCTGTATATCATCAACAAAATGAAAAATGGCGAATGCACCTTTGCAGCTGCGCCCATCCCGGGTCACATTGTACCCAGCTGGACAGGAACAGCGATAGCCTCCAGGGGTGTTAGCACAAGCATGTAAACACAGTCTGCCAGCCTGTCCGTTGTGAAACAGCTCGCATTCATCTATATCTGAAACGCATAATGCACACACCCAGTAAACACCCCAATACAGATACATCACAAACGGCGTCATTTGTAAGGAGGGTTTTCCTAAATACCAGTGCAGGTGTAGCTGTCTCTGCCAGAGATGGTGTATCCCGGCTCACAGGTGCAGTGGGTGGTCCCCTGCACAGTACTGCAGCGTGATGGACGGACAAAGGGCCCCGTTGTAGCAGCTGGTAGGGTGGTAGCAGCAGCAGTGGTGGCAGAAATATTTGTCATGGTGATAAAGACTGAACGATGAAGTCAGATGAGAAAGGAGAAATTGTGGTCAGCTCTGAAAAATATTTTCACAACATGTCAAATTTCTTTTTTCTCCAAATCAGTCTCTGGTCTTCCGTGTTTGTTAATCCGACTTTTAGACTTAACGTATTTAGCATACACACTTTGTATCTGAAATCAGTGTGAAAAAAAGCACTGAGGCTTCGATAGCAGTTTTTTTTAGATCAATATAACACGTTGTTTCAGTGTTGGATTTTTGCCTCTGGGTAAAAGCTGTAGCTCGAGGCATTTTTTTCTCCAGTTGTTTGTCTGCCAGTTTGTCTATCCATCTATTTATTTGATGATTTGATATAGTCAGGAACACATTTACCTTATACCTTTTGCTTTTAATGTTTCTCAAACCTGATAAAAAATGAGGTAGATGTTTATTGTGAGCCCCAGAATACATTAATTCAGATAACTAAATTAACTAAACCCTTTTGTGTAATCCTTTTGTGTAATTTGTATATTGTTTAATACATATATTTCTGAGATGTCTGGCATCATCACATAGTCTATGATTTGTTCAAAAACATAAAACATATATGTTCATTTCTTTGTTTTGTATTCTTGCATTTTGTTTAGAGCAAAACACACATTTCAGATATGTATCTTTTATTTAGGCTTGATGGAGTAAATGAACTGTAGTAAATTAATAATTCTGACTGGTTGCTATTTTAACTTAAAGCTGTAGGGTCCAAATACTAAAAATATTCAAAAGTAACTGTTCTTTGCAGATTAGCCCTAAACAAGTACTGAATGAGACTTCATGCTGGAATTCAGTAAGACCCACTCTTGGTATTTAGCACTGGCTTGTATTGGCAAGTCAGACCACTGGCCAGAGTGATCTCCTTCAGCAGACTGGAAAGTTTCGAATAGTGGCCTATAAAACTATGTCTTCTAAACAATTATCTAACACACTGTCGAGATTCTGTCATCATATATGCTTAAATTTCACCATAGACAAGGCCTAAACGTCCCTGCGGTAAGATGGTAAAATTCCACATCCAATGTGTGAATATCTGGTCTGAGAATATTAAATGTTATATTTACATGTTGGTACAGGGCTCTGACATGTAGCTCCAGCCCAACCTTTGGCACAGACACAAGAAAACTGGTTCACTTCGTCCACACACGCCCCACCATTCAAACAGGGAGACGATGCACACTCATTGATGTCTGAGGGAAGAAGACAGAGAGGAAGTTATGCAGGCTCATATCTCTGAACCCTTTCAGAGATACCGGGACATGCGCAACTTAATAACTTTGATGCTTGAACTACAGAGAACGCAACAGCATGACACATATAGACATATTTGATAGAAACATGAGGAAACAATGGCGCACAAAAGCTTTAGTGCAGCCAAATATTAAGCAGAAGCTGCATCTTGATCAAAAAGCCTTTGAGCTGCCGGCAAGCCGACGAGGAGAAGTAGTCTGGAACGGAATATCCCATGTCAAACGCTCAAAAAGCACTCTGGACAGCAGCTGAAGTACATAAAAGAAATATGATCACAGGTCGGATGTGAAATGTGTCTCTACATAGAAAATGGCGACATGCCAGATGCACAAAAAGAGGAGAAAGGACGGAGCTCACAATGGAGACGCTGACAGGGATGTAAAAGCGATCAGTGGGTCAGATAGCAGGATGAGTGATGGTTAAGGAGGAACAGACAGAGTCGGGAGGGAAGAGAGCAGGCAGACAGAGATGGAGAAAAATGACCGTGACAGTGAGGACGGGCATCTGAGCACTGGACTCTGACCTCTGCAGACGGGGGACTGGCCACTCCAGGTCAGGCTGTCCTGACAAACCCTGCTCTCTGATCCCACAAGCTCGAAACCGGGGTCACACAGAAAATGGACCTCATGGCCTGCGCTGTGGGATTTTCCCAGCTTCCTGCCATTGCTGGGAGTGTCCAGTTTGGGACAGGTACCTGGTGGGGGTGTAGATGATTAGAAAAATCATTTCACCTTTGGACAGATCTGTCTGTCTTTCTAGGGCTGCAGCTCACTGTTTATGGTTTTTGTCGTCTGCTTTCCTGCACTGCTGTGGAGTACATTTATTTTCTTCTTCAAATTGCGGAGACTCTGCAAGCAGGTGGTTTCATGGGCTGAGAGAAGCTTCTGGACCTGTTTCAGAGAGCCTTGTAATTCCTGTCTACTGGGACAGTCCTGCAGGAAAACACAGCGGTTAACTAAAAAAGCACTTTGCCTATTGCCTAATGTCTTATATTTATATTGAGGTTTTAATGACATTTAAAAACAAAAATGTTGCCAAGTAATACTTTAGAGTCCAATTAAGTTTACAACGAAAGCAATTAGAGACAAAAGGATAGTGGGTACTTTATATATGAAACTGTTCCATAGATTTAAGGCAGTCGTAAAAAAAGCTTAACCTGTTTTAAGCTTTAAACATCTACAGATTCAGAAAAACTACGGAGCTTCTTCATACATTTTTCTTCAGAAGGAACAGTGGTTTTCCAGGTTGTACAGTGAATCTATTCCTCTGGCCAAGGCCAGTTAAAAATAAATATTTATCGACACAGAAAATTCTCCTGAAGTAAGAGACCACAAGCCACTGATCTCACTGATTTATGAGCGAGAGAACCACCCCATTCATTCCAGCATTTTCAATCATTTGCAGCACTCGAAAAAGCCAGATAATGAAAAGCTTTTACAGCTTCAACATCGAATGGATTGCATTTACGCGTGCCACTGCTGCTTATTGACAACTAGCACTTTCACATTCCTGACAACATTCAACAATACGCATAGCTCCTCTTGGTTGCTAAAGTTGTTTTTTAAATTTATCGAATACTTTTTCAGTAATACACACCCTCCCCTCTGATTAATGCATTAAGGGATTGCCCACTGACAAAAGCCATGGATCAAGGAACTTGTACTCTGAATAATAAAAAAAATGGTGATCTCCGAAGCCACAGCAGCCCACGGGGGGGGTGCTTTTCACCTGAAAAGCACCTGGACACCTGTTTGAACTCTAGCTAAAAAAACAGTGTAAAATGGAATCGAACCTGTTACTGCAACATAGCTGGTGTAGGTATTCAAACCAAAGCTAAGGTCATAAATAGATATCTGTGCGGTACAGAGGCTGAGGTGTTCTTATGTGGGAGTTGTGCAGTAGGGATCAGAGTGTGTTTGGTCACTGTGTGGACTTAAAAGCAGAAACCTCCTCATTTGCTAGTTGGCTAGTTCATTTAGCCCCTTCGTAAACAGAGAAGCACTCTGTGGAGCACAGTGTGTTTCTTGTCATGTGGTTTCAAGTGTAGCCTTTGCCAGAGGTTTAAAATCTTTTCCACGTACAGTTATGCAATGATATTTCGGGGGTGTTAAATTGAGGTAGTGGTGCAGACATTCTATCCTTCATTCTGTCTTTAGCACTCTCATGCATGTTTTCGCACAACCAATTAGTGTTTTCCTCTTGCAAGGGTTATGTAAGAAGGGCAAATATTTGCTTGAAACACCGTTCTTATTCCTAATGAACCGAGATTTGATACGATTTCAGTTGCTGTTGGTGGTCTGACAGCTAACATTTCTCAGGACCACATGTTATCTCTGCAATGTTACCACGGTCAAATCAAAAGGACATTACAATTCTATTTTACGCAATCAAAGCTTGCTCGATCATGTACTGTGTAAAGGACCATCAAACTGACATTCTCAGACACTCACAGTTACATGCTCATGTAGGCCGTATCTGAAGCAGAACGCAAACAAATACTACGCATGCACAGATAGGCATGCATGCAAAGGCTTGAAGAGAGTCATTCACAGACACATGTAGCTTCTTGGAAATGCGTAGCTGCTTTTCAGTGAATCGCAGCAAAGATATAGTGAGTGAATTCAGTCTTTGGAGCCGGTGGGATGTTGTTTCTCTAGCTTGAGTGCAAAGTAGAGGCGACTGAAGGTCTGCTCTGTGAGATTTTTCTGTGTAGGGTACAGTAAGGATATTCAGAGTAGTACATATTATGTGCTTCTGAGTGTGAATGTAAACCTAAATTGGTTATTTAGTCCTGTCAAACAACATATAATTGTTCAACACACGTTTTACCATACATTTCCAAAGAAATTCAATATTATTACTTTAAATTAAACCAATAGGAATTATGTTGGATAGATTCCTACCTGTCCAAAAGTAGGATGGAGTGAACAGAGGCACAGCAAGATGAGGACGTTCTCAGCTGACGCAAACATGTTTCCTTTCACCTCGATGCGCCGTCGATGAGCAGCCCTCAGATGTCTGGGTGACAGACAGGGTGGACCTTAAGTTGTCAGTCTACACAGAGCATGGAATTCAGGTGGGACAAAACACAGTGGTAAAGCTGCCACGGCTAAATAGTGCGGAATGCTGGGTTTACTCCTCGGGAGCCAATCAGAAAAAGAGACTTGGAAGAAAACATTATTATCCCTTTGCCTGAGCTGGAGTGCACTTCCTGACTGCTCAAAGTGGCTGGATGTGGACGATGTGGGAATCTATAGTGAACCCATGCCCTCTGCAGGAGTACAGGCATACTGTCTACTCATTCCTGTTTTTTTGTGTCATCTTTCTATCCTTCCATCCATTTTCTTCTTCTGATTTATCAAGATAAAGGCTCCCTCATAGTTGAAAACACATTGCCACAACATAGTTTTATCTATTCCCCTAAATAATGTTATCATTTTTGGTAAGTGACCGAGGAACATAAAAAAGTTATTTGCTAAAAACGATCATGAGTACTCTGATCACTTAAACTAATAGATTAAGAGGATTTTCACAAGCTGCCTCAAGTGAAGGTGCTTTGGTGTGCTTTGACAGGAGTCAGCATTCAAGTACACTGGGCTAAAGCAGATGACTCAGTTGGTTACTGGACCCAGTGGCCACATCTGACTTGCAGGGTCAGAAAGGTGAGCCGGACAGCATCTGGACCAAATCCTTACTGTAAGAAGCCCATAGCTCACAGCGGTGGCATGAGTCTATTGTGTTGGGCTTCGGCTTTGTCCAGGCAGTGAATCACTACACTGTGTGTAGATCGTGATTCACGCTTCTTACAGTGTGTCCATGACAACTAAAAAAGGGGCTGAGGGACCTATTCACTGTTTAAACGGGGGTCTGGGCAGGTCCATCCTGTCCCATGACACTCCGAGACGTATCCTGCCTTTTGTACCACTTTTGATTCTACCACGTCTGGATTTGTATCGTCATCACTGAAGAATTTTATGGGTCACTTTGTCTCAATAACAAAGATGATCTCCAGTGATTCACCTGAAATGTAATCATCACTCTGTCTCGCCACACCTCCCATCAATAACAACGAGGGACTTTCCTGCTCAACCTCAGTTTCAGAGTGGTTTAATGTTATCTCTGTCCCTTAGTAGATGGGAATCTATGGTGGATATGACTTCCAGCATGGGACAGTCGTAAATGCCAACTTCAGTCTGCAGGTGAAAACATTTTCGTAGAAAAAGAAGGTACAAATACTTTGAAATGGGGAGTTTTACTTATCAGGATTTAAGGAGAGCCATCTGTTTCCTGTCAATTGATTTAGTCCATTTGTTGGAGCGAACCACTCAGATGTGAGATTACAAAAATACCAAAGAAGGAAGACATCAGCAATTCGCCTACAGAAGCGAATTGAGGCCATTATTATAGACACAAACAGTGACAAATATATTAGGATTTAAAAGAAGGAACAATTCACGACAGTTATCAGCCTTTGAAACAAGTTCAACCAATTTCCTCGACATAAAAACTCAGTGAAACTGTTAAGAAAAGCTTCCGCTCACACTTTAGAGGTTAGATAGATGATGTACAGCGCAGCATCCAGCAGAACTGAAAGTTCCTTATGAGCAGTCATGATGGTGGAGGGATAGTTTTCACTTGTTTTCAGTAAAAGTTTTACATTTCCTGCCTGATCCCAAACAGGTTAATCACTGATTGCTGTATCCTTGTTTTTACCATGTCAGCTTCAAGTGTCCATTTGGTATCTTTAAATGTCTGACCAGCTAAAAAAGAGACAACACTTGAGCCCACTATTTGGATGATTGCTGCAACAATCAGGTTTCAGGGTCTTCCAGTGACAGTTTGTTAATAGGTGACCATGGTGGCAGGAGGGGAGTGGGGGAGTGAGGGGGGGGCAGGGTGATCTTAACGGGGGGTTGGTTGTTTGGGACGACTCAGATCTCCACGATGGGGTCTGTGGCAGCCACCCGCAGCCTGGGTCTGTTTCTCTTTTTGTTTTTACTGGACTCTTTCACCTCTCAGGATCGGACAGTCGCACAGTTGTCGGACACGCAGATGTCTTCCAATACTGGTAAACTCACTGCACACGCACGCGTGACCGAAGCCACGAGGGCCATTCCAGCGCAAAGGGCTTTAAAATACATATATAGTTGTGTAATCTAAGGACTTCTCTTACGGTTAATAATAATAAGTGGTGTCTCTGAGAGTTCAGGCTAAAAAACCTTGTATCCTCGCGTTGGCTTTCAAATGTTCATCATATAAGATGCAGACGCTCGTCAAAGAGCCACCTGCTGACCGCGTAAAGTATCCATCTGCGTGCCATTATCTGAGCCAATTCCATTTTCACCCTTCACTCAGTCTATAAGAACGATGCAAGTTTCCTTTTTTTCTTTTTGGTTATCGAGGGAGTTCACACGTAACGAATGTGAGGGGAAAAAGATAACATTTCGCAATTTAATGATATATATCAACGACACCTCCGAACATGAACTGTCAAAGGATATCAGGCAACTTAAGTATTAAGGAAAATATTTTAAAGTTCTAGGTTTTTTATATGCTATCCACAGAAAAATTTTTAGAAAAAGAGAAAAAGATAGATACTTGACATCACTATAAATTCTACAAATCCTGACTTTCATGTCATAGTTTTATTAGGCCTAAGAAGATCATGTCAAGACATTTTATGCTCCCTGTGTCATGATAAGAGAGGGTTATTACTTGTTTCCTGAGTTCACAGGGGTTGATGGTAGCATTAAATGACAGTATTACGCTTCCAGACCCATTTATGGAGGGATATTCTGAGTGTATTTTTAGGATTCTGTTATTAGCAGACAGATTAACTAATTGTAATTGTCACTAGACAGCCTCATTTGACCCACAACAGCTTCCGCATACTGCTTTGTTCTTTGACTGAAATGTTGTGTTGGACCCTAAAGGCTTGATTGACAGACTTTGCAAAGCCATGCTCCAAACTTTCCCTCGTTAAAGTGCTGTTGAACATCCTGCATATTTGCATTCAGTTACCTTGGCAACAGCAGCTGAGGTATAGTAAATGAGCGTCTGTGTTCTCTTGCAGGCCTCGGGGCAAAGGAGCCCTCTCAGATCGTCGCCCAGCACAATAGACTGCGCAGCCGGGTCAGACCGATGGCGGCTAACATGCAAAAAATGGTTTGTGGCACCTATTGTGTGTGTCCTCTGTCTGTTTTTGAATAGTGCACTCGCCATTTCCTCTGTGACAGGTTTAACGTTATCCTTTTGTTAACAGCATGTGCTTTTTTTGAGTGGTAAATTGTGCATGGAGCGAAAACTCAAAAGAAATTTGTTTTACAATGCAGCTCATGTATCTTAAAAAAAGAATCACTGGAATTTTATTGAATCTCTCCCTCCTCTTGTGTAAAATCTCTGGCTACCGGTTGCCAACTTATTTAATATGCTTTCAAGATCAAACAAACCAGAAGCTTTTGTTAAGGAAGGTGTAAGTGATGCTGGATAGACACGCACAAGGATGTGGAAACCTGCAGATTCTGAGAAATATGCTGCACATAATGATACATTTTCAGTGGAGAAAGCAGGTTCGTGCAATTCAGTTATTACATTCTTCACAATAGGAAAATGTTGAAACATGGCATCAAGAAACTAAATCAAAGGCCTGTGATAAGTTGTGCTACATTAGTCCACTGCACAGAAACTTAATTTTGTTAATTTTGTGAGATTTTAGAGGTTTACATGTCAGTTTTGGAGGTAAATCCAGCCTAAGAAGTATAGAGTTTTTCACAGTTTTCATGTTCCAAGCAGTGCAGTTTGAATGATAACTTTGGAAATGAGAACTATACCAAAACCTATAGCTTTGCAAAGTGTCCAGTAAGGTAAATACAGTGAAATTACACCAATGAATCTTTCTTTTACCTGTCATTTTCAGATAAGAATTAAACTTTTCAAAACAGCATTGTCTTCTTTGGCTCTTAACACAAATAAAGGGCGCATACTATTAGAATCCTGGTGGATGTTCTGACTAGAACAGTGATTAAAAAAAGAAGCTGGTGAGTCAGAGAGATAAGGGTTGCTTTTTATGTAGCATTTTCACTGAGGTGTAAGAGATGATAATGACTCTTCTTTCTGAGCCTAAAATGAGATTTGTACCAGGGCAAACTGTCCCTTTGTCACAGATTACATCCTCAGAACCACCCATACAGCGTGAGCCTCTTTCTTCAACTGCTCTCCAGCCTCAGAGAACTGTTCTGAGCTGATAAGTCAGTAATGAGAAAGAGAGGATGTGGATAATCATCCTGCATTCACAACTCTGGTATTACAGGTAAAAAAAGAAAAAAAAAAGCCCTCAGAGGAAGCTTTGCTGAGCTGAAAAGACATATTAAAGAGCTTTGCTGATAAACGCTAAAAGGCTCAAGGCTTCGGCTGTGTTTTTGAATATCTGAATACATTTTTTACCCCCCTTGCACACACATACACGGGGATGAACCAGCAAGCATTGTGGTGAGATTGTGTAGAAGTGATTATTATACAGTCATTTAGGCTTAGCTTTAGTATAAGATAAAATACCAACACTTCAAGAATGAATGAGGCCTCCTGCTTTTCCCTCCCTGTGTCCCCTCAGCAGGTTTTTCTTTGAGATATTCACACCAACAAGTATTATGAGGTTCTAGCAACACAAAATGACAATTAAGTATTCACTTTTTGATATGCAAATTGTGACTTTTGTTTATGAGATTATATCTCACTGATCTCAGAACTTGAACATTTTTTTTTTTTAAAACATGGTTAATTTTAGGAAGCCAGAGCTTTTGGGTGGAGTACAATGCCTCATTCATTTAAGAATGATATTTTAATCTCAATAGCAGTTGTTAATCATCCTTAAGTGAATATAAACACACTGATTGTCCATACCCTCAGAGGCTTTCACATCGCATAACTGCTTGAACAAGACATGCTTTAAAGTGAAATATCTCTGCTCAGTGAGCTCAGCTCCCCTCCACTGCCATCAAAGAATTTTCTGGCTGACGTAAGAGTGCGGAGCAAATAGCGAAATGCAGAGACCTTAGCCCTTTTTTGTACACCATCTACGAGGCCTGTCTTCCAAATTACAGTCATTAGATGATATTGGTGCTCCACCACTGACAAACAATTTGCACTAAGCGCCAGAATCTGCGCTTCAGCCATGGAAACGTGTGAATATTTTAACCTTTCTGCCTTAACCCCTAAGTGCAGCCTGACTGGTGGCTCATCCCAGACTTTTAAAAATACCATCCTCACTGTGGAGTTTACCATTAGACTCTGAATAACTCCAGGTCACTGCTTTATGTGTATCGGTCAGTAATACATTTGGAGAGGCATGGAGGAAGGTACGAAACATCAGGCTGTAAGGCAACTGAATGAATGCTTAGAAAAAGAAGCTTAATAGTCCAGAATTTAAATTTAGGCCAGCTATGACCTTTTGTGTTGAGCCAATGCAGGGAAACGTTTCCTTGGCTTAGATTTTTATTAAGGTGTCAATAACGATTTAATCTCTTACTGAATGACTGTTACAGACAGCCGTCATTAGTCTTTATTAAAACTAATTCCTGTTCATGACAGGTGTCATGTCGTAATTATAACAGTGTCAACTTAGCTGTTAATCTCAGTGTCACACTCCAAACTGTATGCTATTGATGGATTATCATTGCTCTAAGAAATCAGGATTTACAGTTCTACACTGGATCAAATTCCTTATATGTGCTTCAGTCAATGTAATGGCAAATTGTCTGGAAGATTTTTTAGTTTTTTTTTATTAACTTCCACTGAGTCTGCCTATATGTATTTACCAGGTGTGCAATCTGAATTTCCTACAGCTTCATGCTGCAACGAGAAAATGAACTTCTGGTTTCCTGCAATACAGAAAACTTAACTGGTAGAGTTTAAACTTCTGGTGAAATACATCTTAAACTAATTATGCCTTATATTGCCTGTTATCATGTTTCCTAGAGCTCTGTCTGTTTATGAATGGCCAAATAGGAACTAAAGTTTACTGCACAGTGTTTCTTTTAAATGAAAACCTATTTATGATATTAAAATCCGATGCTCATTCTCAGGAATGGAATCAGCGACTGGCAATACTTGCAAAGGAACAAGCAGGATTGTGTCGGACAGACCCCTCCCTGCGTGGAACCCCGTCTTTCAGTCACGTCGGCTGGAACACACATCTTTCTGCTCATGGTGTCAGCTCGTTTAGTGACATCATCGATGCCTGGTTTAAGGAGGGAGAGGACTTTCTCTACTTGAATGGTCGGTGTAGAGAGAATGCAACTTGTCAGCACTACACACAGGTACAGATACAAAACTTAGAGTTAAGGGATTATACAGCGCATTGGTTTTATCTTTAACAATAGCACTGCTTTGTATTCAAACCTATTTCTGTGTATGTGCAGCTGGTTTGGGCCACTTCAAGTCAAGTGGGCTGTGCCAGTCAGCTGTGTCCAAAAGATGGAAGGCTCTGGGAAATGTTTGTGTGCGCATATTACCCCGGGTAAAAATGACACATTTACCCCAATGAAACATGTTTTTTTTTTTGTTTTTTGTTTTGTTTAAGTAATGTAAAATGGTCAATTTGAGCAAAGTTAGAGCTGAGGGTTTCATGTACTAATAATCTAGATGTTTTTTGTGCTGTTTTTTTTCTTTTCTTTATTTTTTTAGCACATTTGTTCTTGTTTTTTAGGGGTAATTGGGAGGTAAATGGTGGGCTGGTGCCCCCCTACCAGTCGGGGCTGTACTGCTCCCTCTGCACCGCTTTGATGTCTGGCTGTTTCAGACTGTGGAATCATGTAGGTGGACTGTGCGGTAAGAACATACAATTCTAACTAGAATTCAATTCCTGTTGTGTTTCAAGTGTCCAGGATGCACATTTTGCCAAATGACATCCATTTTATAACAGAGATCCCCAAGAACCCATGCCGTATCAACTGTGGTCAACATGGCCGACTTAATGTTTCATCCTGCAAATGCCAGTGTGACCAGGACTTCACTGGACATTTCTGTCAGGGTATCACTCATAAAACAGAACATGTTTTGTGCATTTTAACTTTAAAAAAATTATAAAGAGAACAAGGATTTTGGTGTGTGTGTGTTTTATCAGTTCGATGCAGTATGCAGTGCATCCACGGTCGTTTCAAAGAAGAAGAATGCTCCTGCTTATGTGATGTTGGCTACAGCGGTGCTGAGTGTGCAGGTGAGGTTAGAAGACATTAATATATGCCTATCTGATGCCTGCATGCTGTATTTTTGGTAATGCGTTCCTTTAATGCTCCCTTGACTACATTCTTTATAACTTTTTACGAAAATGTATTCTAATGGCACAGAGCTTTCAGTGGAGGTATTCATTCATCAGTCTGAGGAGATTTTTTTCACAATTCGCTTCTGGTGCGAAGTACAAGGGACTTAAACTTACAGAAAACTAAACATTCATTTACAATAGAGTAAATTTTGTTCTTGTACATCTCCAACTGCACATGTTGCAAAATTTGGATCATATGTGAGCTACTGGTCATGTTTTTAGGGCTTTTGTGCCTTTACACATTTTGTGTAAAAACACACATATCTCATTAAGCTTTTAGCCACCTGTTAAGCCTCTTTTTTTTCCAGTTAACATGAAACTTAGATTGTCTTTTCTCAATGTGATTATTTTTTGTGTCACTGATTCATTTTTAGTCCGATTTTTTTTTCACTGTCTTTCCTCGTCTCATGTAAGTTGATAATTGTAAGCACTTCTATATTAAGTGTATACTATAGAACCCCACCAGGCATTTTGTGTTACTTTTGCCATGCTTTGTTGCACCTTCGTGTCCGTTTTACTCTCTTTTACGTCTCATTTTGCATTATTAACCCAAACTAAGCAAAGTACACCCTGCTTAAATTGACCTGTTGACTCATCTGCAAATGAAAATGCATTAAGTAAAAGCAATATGGTTTTGTTCTACTCATTAGTTTACAGGATTTTTTCCTAGCCGTTCAACTTTTGGCCTCATATCAGCAACGAATGATTGTATGAATTCCACAATGTTCTGCCCCATTTCAAAATTGATACTTTAGAAGGTGGGGATATTCTGTGAACCTGAACAAAGATAGATGCCAAATGTCATGTTAACCTTTGTTGTTTTTTTCTGGCTGGTTGCATCACAACAGAGAAAGTGCAGTTTCCCTATCATATCTGTGCTGTGATGATAGATGGAACTTGCTTCACGGTGTCTTCAGAGGCTGACACCTACTATGGAGCCAAAACTCTGTGTCAGGTGAGAAATAAGTGTTACACACTGTGAGAGTGGGACCCCCTCTACAACCACTTATAAAGCAATGTATAACATCCACCTGCAATTTTTTTTTTCTTTGACTTTGCCCTTTTCTCTGTTTAAACACATAGGAACTTGGGGGAAATCTTGCTCACATCCACAACCAGAAGATTCAAGACATCCTGGCTTTTTATTTGAGCGAGCTTGGGGCAAGCAATGAAATAACTAACACACATGCTGAAACAGAAAATTTCTGGATAGGTAAAACCTTCTATGTTCAACATTAACTTTAGCGGTAATACAACACAATTCAACAACACTTATTATTATTATTATTAGCAGTATACCATTTAACTTTTACAAAAAGGAAACACCAATCAGAATACATGTATATATATATTTATATATATATTCCTTTTTGGAAGTGTTGAATACATGAAACACAGCTGCTTTGGCTCTGCAGGTCTGACATACAAGCCTCCAACAGACTCCTTTCGTTGGGACACAGGAGAGAACCTTCAATTCAGCAGCTTTGCTTTTGGCCAGCCTGATAACCAGAGGTAAGATGCCTTTTCTGGAAACGCACAAAGCCACTGTTGAGTACATCGTAAACAGATAAGCACACTGGGACCTAACTTAAAGGCATAAAATGCATTTCCAAGTACAAAACTGTGATTTGGGCCTTTCTGAAGTATATGAGCTTTTTTATTAATTTGCAGAAATGTAATTATTTTATTTGTTGTTCTAATTAAACAAACCAATTAAATGCTTTACCTGGGTAGTGATTATGCTGAGCTGCAGCTGACCACTAGATGTCTCTCCTTTTCCTGTCCGTGTTAGCCTGTCAATTTCATGGTCCTGCAGTAAATCTGACTGATTTCAGTCATTCCACTGGGTAACAATCTGTATTCTGCAACCAATGTAATATTAAAAGCTATTTAAAACAGTTCAGTCTCAAACTGACTCTTGAACTTTTCATAAGTCAAACAGACAAACTGCTCTCTGTCTGTGGGGGCTAGCTGGAGTTCTCGGTGTGTACTGTAACTCGCTGATTTTCTTTCTCTGTCCAGATTTGGAAACTGTGTAGAACTGCAGGCACAAAGTGCTTTCAACTGGAATGACCAGCGCTGCAAAACCAGGAACCGTTACATTTGCCAACACAGTAAGGCTCCTTCGGGGAAAGAGTGGGTGGAAGTGTGGATGGGATAAAGGTAGGCCAGTCTTTTGTAGAGCTGACTATCTCCACAGGATTCTCATCCCCTGGAAACGAGGAAGACAACTTGTGATTCATTATGTTCCTCTACAAAGAACATGGACTGTTGAAATTTGGGTTGCCTTTGAACAGAGATATAGACAATAAAGACATTTACGGTTGGTGCCCAAAATGTAGTTGTTACTGGAAAATTGTGACTAAACGGTTGCCTGTTTTGCACAAAACATACATTTAAAGGGGGTACATTTCTTCAATCTTTCAAGCAAATCCATTTTTTGTATCCATTTCATAATCTCAAAGTAGTACAATGGCAAAAGTTTTTAATAAATAGATCATTTTGCTCACTCCACTCTCTTAACAGCTTGAAAACAATAATTACATATTTTGAAATCTTTCTTGAAATATTCATCCTGTTATAACAGTCATCCTTTCTTCATTGGTAACATTTTTACAAGCAGACTGATTTTACTTCCAGAATTAAATGTATATTTTACTATGCACATTTGTCCTCTGCGTCACAGGCTGCAATACAAGCGTTATCAATCTGTTCTAGTCTTCCACCACAGGACATCCAGAGCTGTCAACAAGGGACAGTGAAATGTCCTCCCATATTTTCCCCTCAAAAACGCATTCTCCTGCCTGTCAGGCACCAGTAGCTTTGAAGCAGAAAACAAACAGACTGTGGCCTTATAGATGAAACAGACCTGCCTCTCCAAAAGCCTTGTGGCAGCATAGAGCCAGAGAAAACATTGTTCAGTACCAGCTTCTTTAAGGTAATTGATAATTAATGAACATTTTATACCATCATTAGAGTTGATACTAAGGAGATTACTTTGATGTTTCCATGAGCTCATCTAATTTTTATGCACGAAAGAATGCAAGGAATAGTATGATTTTTTTTTGTTGCTGCTATTTTTTCGGTTTGGGTTTAAGAATGGGTGTTATCCCTTTTCCCCGTCAAACACACCACTATTTATAATGAGTGCTGTCATTTCCATTGTTTGCCCCGCTTAGCTATGTTCAGGTGATTACTGTTGTCTGTTTCATAGCCTGTCTCTGGTAATCACTACAGAGTGAAGTTTGAAATGTTAATCCACTCCGGTCAGTCAGAATGTGAAAAATAGATAAATAAATAAAAGAATCCCTTTGTGATCCCGTCCACACATTTAAACATCCCTCTTAGTATAAATCAATGCCACTCAGTGCTCGCCATCAAGAACCTTCAAGCAATCGATAAGCGTTGGCTCCACAGAGGCCTGCAGTGTTTAGACACACATACCACTTATACTGACGGGGGGATGAGATGGTGTCAGGCGCTTAGATTTGTCCATTTGACTGTGTTTTTGCACTGTCCTCTGGTAATGATTCCACATCACTAACTCTGGTCTGAATGTTTTCAGTGTTGCTAAGAGAGTTTTTTTTATTTTCACAATGGATAAATGGATTTTTAAAATCATTGTATCAACTCGCAATCCGTAGCTTCTGTATGTGCAGAACAGGGCTAGTCGACAATCATGGGGGCTTTAGAGTTATTGTTCTGTTAGTGGGAGTTGCAGCTTTAGCCACATTTAGGCCATTTATAGTGTGAAAACCTCTGTGTTTAGTCATTCTCAAGAAAACATTTCCGGAACCATCTCAACTTTCATAAAAGCACATTTCTACTGCGACAAAGAGTATAAATACATGAGCCAAAGTCCTTTACAATAACTCCCAGCTGCCAGAGCTCTGCTTTGTTAATTGCTACTAAAATGATAGATGGATATCATGTAGCCTGAGGCAGACACTAAGCTGCCTGCTCCAAAGTTCTGTCTATGCATGGGGTGTAAATTTCAATGTGCATGAAAAGGATTCCGTATTTTATGTCTCATTAACAGTCTTTCATCGTTATCTTTGAGTAGAACTGCGGGATGATGGAGGATTTCTGACACAGACAGCCATGGCTGCAGCTTCCTTCTCTGTCCTGTATATATGCATGTTCCATAATATGTATGTCTGTGTGTGTTTTGCAGATGCTGAGCTCATTGCACTGTGGAAAGATGTTAGGTGACCTGGAATTCTAAAGGGGCTGAAATTGATGTGCTGGCCCTCACATTAACTCATCAGATGTAACAGTGGCCACTGTTGTTAGTTTTTGTTGGTGTTGGTTTGTGTGTCCTCATTTTTCACTGTTTATAGACCAACATGGTTTAGACATATTGTATATGCTGTTCAAGTTAGTATTTTTACTCATTAAATAGTTGTATTCTTAATTCAAACTCTGGCTGTTTATTCTTTGATAGAATTTGACATTTTATGGCATAAAATCTAAAGCATGAAAAATAAAAATGAGTCCAAAAGCAGCAAAGGATATCCTGGTTCTGCTCATTTTTCTATCAGGAAGTACAAAAGAGTGACATTGGTCGGCTTCCCGCAGAAAAACAGCAAAGAACAAAGAGAAGCATAAAACAAAATAATTAAAGCTTGATAATCATGCACATTTATTAATTCCTGCTGACATTGGGCAAGAGGTGGATGGAACCTGGACAGGTTGCCAGCGAATGATAGGGCTACAAAGAGATAAAGCACCACACACCATCACATTTCCTGATAAATAAAACCAAAAACATGCTGATGAAGGAAACTTCATTTATTCAGGGTTTATCAGAAATATCACCATGCACGTCTGTTTCTCCTTCCTCTTCTTTTTCACACTAAGCAGTAAAGAGCATGTTTCGGTTTTACCTGTGCTGTCAGTCATTTGGTCCAGCATTTGGATCAAGGCGAAAATATTCAAACAACCACAGTGTGTCCAGAAAAAAATTTCTGGTATAATAACAACGCTCTCAGCCAGTCAAAATTATTAAAATGATCAAGGTTTAATTAATCACCAGCCTGCTTGACGGTTTCAAATGGTAAAGTGAATTTAGTTTGCAGTAGATTTTAATTAGATTTTTTGACCTTTTTAAAATCTTCAGTGGGCATTTCTGGTGTCGGCTTCCTCTGCTCATCATTTCGAGTACTGTCCAAAGATGTGTGCTGTCCTCCATAACAAGCAGTTATAGACAAGCGTTTAGAAAGAACCCAATATTTTTAGCAAGCCGGCAAAGAAGGGGCATCATCAGTTTCCAGTGAGCGCCTCAAACCACTCCAACCTGCTGGCACCTGTGTCCTTCACAAACACTACTTGTGAAATCTTAATAATGTCGGCCATATTTGAGTCTTTTCTGACCTTGTAGTGTTCCTGACTATCCGATGGGGTGGGCAGCGAAGGATAATGAGCTCAAGTCAGCTTCATGTGTACTTTTCTGATTGCTTTAATCAGCCACCGACAAACATTTACTCCACTGTCAGGTGCTCACTTCATGATAGTTATTCTTGCTATTTTTTATCTTTAATCTGCTTAATCTTTCGAAATATTGAAATGCAAGTTTACACTTGTTGGAGTTTGAAAATCTGCATAAACATACAAATAATGTCACTGTAACAAACTATATATTGTAGGTATCGTAGTGTAGGTGGATTCCCAAGTGACGTTGATATTCTCAGTGTTTTATATGCAGAAGATCAAATTTAGTCTATCCACTGTAAGGTTGCTATTTTTGTATTTATCTATACATACATATTTATATATATACACCATATCCCTGTATAGAGGGTAGACTGGGATATAGTTTTGTCTGAATATTCTGGCCTCTGAGCTCCATACCATACCTTAGTTATGGATTCATTTTAGTTGGGAGATTTAACTTTCGCTCTGAATGAGTTTAAACTTTGGTGGCCCCTTAAATTTCCCCTTTAGCACTGCTGTAAGATCTACGCTTTGCTTTATGAACAAATTACAGTAGTTTTCAGTAGTCTAAACTGCACTCCATCTAGCAGACATTACAGATTTTGACCCATCTCTTCTGAGCTATTTTACACTCTTAACCTGTACAACTTTCAGAAGCAGAAGCTGAAGTAGAATGATCACTCCCTATGATAATAGTCTGCTCCTTCGGCAATAGTCTCTTGACCTGGAACTAAACTTGTATGTGAGAGAACCACAGAGAAAATAAGGAAGGAGAATGTATTTCTAAAATAGCAGAGTGGATAAGATCACCTAGAACAGGAAATGGGGTTCAGTAGAGACCGCATATGAGTAATTTCTTGTTAGAATATCTTGATAAGTAACCTGTGTCACCTGTCAAACAAATACATATAGTTTTAGTAACATATGACTCCTAGAAGGCACCAGAGAAAAAGTCAATAATAATCCAACAGCAAAATAGGATTCACATTTTATGTGTTAATTCTACAGAAGGGTTGTGATGAGAGGAAGCTATGAACACATTAAAATACAGACTCTACCCCTTTTAGAATAAAATATCACAGCTTCTTCTTCACATATCTATAATAGATTTGGAATGAATACTGATTTTTTATTAAGTCACTGCCTTCAAATTAATAAAGAGTCTGATGGATTGAAAGCTCTGTTGAGATTGTAACTTTCATTTGAAAAATGTAAGATTTAGAAGACAAAGAGAAAAACTACTTTTCAGGTCAACTATTATATCAGTTACTTTGGATGGGAGCTGTGTTTCATTGTAAAATTAATTTATGAACGCAAGATTTGACAGTACTGTGAATAATCTGGCCAGCAGACTAAAGAATAAGATGAACCTGGGTGGTGGGATTCTTTACATGTGCTAAAACTTTCTGAACTTGCAAGGTAAAGTGTGGGTCAGGCATGATGCTGTCCTATTTATGAACAGGGAAGATAACGATACAAACACACACACACACACACACACACACATTAAAGATTGGTTCAGAAGCTGCACAAAAAATACCAACATATGGTGCAAAAATAATACAAATGGACATCACAGTGATGAGGTCAAGGGAGTTATTAATTTCTAATTGTGCCTCAGCTCAACAGACTTTTAAGATCCAATTGAGGGAAGTCTCACTAAGCACCTCTGAAGATAGATTACTGTCACGACTGACACGCTGATTTGTTGCCCTATTGCTTCCTTCCTTCAGGAGATACTCCAACATGGATAATAAGGGATTAGAAAGCTGCTGGTGGGTCAGAGTAGTAGAAAAGAGTGGGACAAACAGCGTATTATTGAATGGATGTGCTGTCTAATAAACTTTTTCTGCTGATGTGTTGGCTCGTGCGTATAACAACCTGTCTGAGGGCGGAGTGAGCACTGAATGTTTATGTGTTTGTCCGGGGGAGTGCGCTGGATGGGCGCGTATTCGCCTCATATGCGTTACTTGCACAGCTTCCTGCTGGTCTCATGGTGCCCCCTGATAAGCGGCCGCTGCAGAGGGTTTCAGAATGGTGCTGGTGGCAGTGGAATTAGCTTCCATTGTCATGATAATGACAGTGATACTCTTGCCCCTTCCAACTCAGACCAGCCATTGTATGGAAACAGGAATGCAATTTCTCCTTCAGCTGCAACCGACAATCCTCTATGAGAGTGGCAGCTCCCAAAATGACTCTCCATTCATGCACGGCTGACGGGCCAGCAGCCAATTAAAGTGGGAGCAACAGAACAGTGCCATATTGAAGACCTGAGACTGTCTAAACACACACATTAAGTTGTACTCGCGCTCACATACTCACACACAAAAGTTGCTGTATTCTCCTTTTAACAAAGAGCATCTAATCCCCTAAAGTATTCTTTGTCTACAGGACCTGTTTCTTCGAGGAGCTGAAGCAGTTTGAACTAAATAACACAAGGTTTGTGTACACATACTCAGGAGCAGGAGGCACTGGTTTGACTAAAAGCTGTGTGGGTGTTGTGGGACAGAGTTCCTGGGCAAATTGTAAACCGTCTCCATCACTATCTAGCATGGTTCAATTCTTTGGGGATTTATGGTATCAGGCTGTTTCCGCTGGGCATTTATTTGGCAGCTGAGGCAGAGGGATGATGGCGAATGAAAGGTTTCAAAAGTGTTTGCTCTACCGAGCTGTGAGTAAAGTGGACGTGTGCAGCGGGGCAATGTTAGGGTTTTAGCCCAGAAGAAATACATCAGGCAACATAAATATATCCCTAATTTCTTGTTGACGAATCTCCTCAAACAAAACTAACCTGCTGTTGGTATGTAGGTGTTTCCTTTCCCTGATTTTTCCCAACCAGGTATCTATTTCAGTAAAGCTATGTCAGTGTCTTTGGACAATAAACCAATGAGGAGAGTTGGAAAAGGAAAAAGAATAATTCACGCCAGAATGACACTGATATCAAAGAGAATAGAAATTATGACTATTAAATGTAAAGAGACATACATGCATAAAAATCTTCTTTGTGCAATTGATGTTGAGCAATCGGCTATGTATATCAAAGTTTAATCTTAGGCACTCCCAAATGGACACATCGTCGGTTTCGACACTGAGATGAGATGAACTGAGATTAAACGAAATAACACAAGATAAATTTGGATCAAATAACACCAAAGTGATTTCAATGAAAGTAGGTCAATTGGGTTTTGCGATATGAAAAGATTTTCCTATAATCAATTAATGTGTTGGTAGTGATGAGAATTTATTAGGTGGATTATGGTAATTCAGCCACTCTCCACCTATAATTATCAGGCAGTGTTTAAGGCAGTTAATCAGCATCATGACATGAGGTTAAAAAAAAACATTATCAGGAACATTAAACGCTAAAATAAAAAACAGAACAGCAAAAAATACCCCCTTTTACAGATGATTTCTGGTTGAGATGAAAGCTCTCACATGTCTGCAATCAGTCTCCAATTAGCACTCTTTACATCTGAATGAGGAATTCCAGCTGCTCTGCAGGATCCGATGATCCAGGCGGGGGAGGAACCGTTTCTGTTTATGAAGGGAGGTAAATAAGACAGACAGAATTTTAATCATCTGTACAAATCTAGACTGCACTGAGCACTCACCTTATTTCCTCACTCTGTTTCTGTTTACCGGGAGTTGAACTGTGTGTTCACATTAATCAGGCTCCTCTCAGCTTTTTCGGAGTCTCCACGTTGGCATTTCTTTTATGATGCCGGATTGAAAGTAAATAACACGAGCGTCTTCAACAAAAGATTGAATGTGGATTATGAGTCCTGTTTAAATGTGTTTTTTCTCTCTCGTTTTCTAATGTAAAAGAAATCTAAGGTGAAAGAAACAGCATTGTTTTGAAGAGAAAACATATACTTTTTAATCAAAAGTTTCAAATATGAACACCGTTTCAATTTGAATCACGGTCGAGTCGGAGGGCTGCAGTGATTATTCTGCTCATCCACAATCACCATTAAACCATTATTCCCTTTTCCTTTATCTATTCTACACCATTCTCTCTCTCTCGTTTTCTCTTTTCACCGCAGTCAGTATTGAGCCGCTC